CCCTGCAGCAAAAAATGGAAATGACAGCCTCATTCTGTATGTGTGTGTGCTTCTTCCTGAGACATGAGCTGAAATGGAACAAGGTGCATGCAGAAACATACATTAATCCAGGATGGATCCTGTTTGTAGAGAGGTAAAGGTTTACATTTAGTAACACAAGCAGTTCTATACTGAAGCTAAAAATACTGTTAAACATATTTTTTCCAACAATGAGTCTAACAATGAGTCAATCTAGACGTCTGCACATTCCTCACGAATAGTGTGTGAAACCAACTTTTTGGTCATTGCAGTAGGTTAATGCTTCAACATGTGATGTTCTTCTCCAATAATGCCCTCCCTTTTGTGAAGCCTGATGCTGCCATACCCATACCTTGCAGCTGGAATACTGTGTTCTCTGACTTGGAAGCCTTCCTGTTTTTGATAAAATGTAACAAAGGTAATTAGGGCCATGCAGACACAATAGATCCAGACAAAAAAATTAGTCCGGAGTCCCTTAATGAATTTGCTTACTGTAATTTGTGTTTTTCCCTTTTCTTTTTGGAAAATCCTACTTATCGATTCATACATTAACAGGTGGTCCTTTATTTAACCTTAATGTTGCAAATAAACTCCTGGGAAGCCATCATCATCCTGATTTTCTAAAATCTAAAATCAGAGTATTTATAAAAAAGGTTAACATCTAAATCAGGATGTCTCAATTCCCGTCCTCGAGTTCCAGTATCTTGTACCTTTTAGATGTGCCTTAGCATCATCACACCTGAGTTAGAGAATCAGGTCATTAGCAGGACTCAGGAGAAAGAGGCTCAATCTGAACACCTCAAATTGTAGCACCTACCTCCTGTTCTTAGCTCCTTCACCTTTAATAACAGTAAGAACTCTATCCAGGGTTGAAAAGCAGGCCTGAACTGCTGTGCTGAAAGCCTTATGAATGTCATTACGCTGCAAACACACACATTAATGACACTGGTGTGAACATTGGCCTTTGTCACACAGAATGCTTGTCACAAAACCACATATTTTCTGGTTGTGCCTGTAGGTTCTGTCAAGCAAAGGATTGTTGACAACCATAGTTTTCCTACCAGCGCCAAAGGATGTCAGGAGATCCCTATGCTGAATGAACTGATGCTAGGAGGCATCTGTTCCGAGCTCTTTCCTTACTACCAACACTATTCAGATACCCCTTATTATGGGGATTGTGGACACACTTCCACTGTGGTTTAAGTGTCCTACTGATTTAAGGTATTTTCATTGAGTCCTAGACTGTATAATAAGGTAATCCAGCCATTTAATTGCGATGTGTGGTAAAAGATGCATGTTAAAAGATACAGAATATTGTAACATGGGGAATGGAATTAAGGATCTAAATTTTATGAAATTCTCCAAAAAAATCTGTTATTCTGGCATTAAGCAATTGTCCTTCAATACACAGCTAAAACAGATTGGGTCCAAAAAAAAAAAAAAAAAAAAAAAAATACACCGGAATCAAAACAAAATAAATCAATGGAAACTGTAATGTTATAGATATATACTTTATTAATTCTCTCTGATAAAATAAAATTACAAAATAATTTCAACCTCAAACGGCACTTTCCTTGTTGATAATTAGTTAACTTATTAATGGTACATGTATCATAAATGTCATGACAAATGAGAAGAATACTATGGTTTTATAATGTAAGATATCAGCTGTAACTGCGTTTAATCATAATGGTAGAAAAGACTAAGCAATACAAAGCTAGAATTTTGTTAAGAGCATACTGTACAATATTTCAAGCGCATGTAATTCAGTATTCCGGCCACAGCATGTCGCTATAATATTGTTTTCAGCGTTATCTCCAAAGTAAAGGTAGGCTTGTCTCTTCTTCCCATCTCACCAGTATAATTCCTCTCCCATATATAAATTTCAGTAGCAGATCTTCCTTCATGGCCATTGATCCTTTGTAAGGTTGATTTGTGATCCCTTATGTTCATCCACAGTCCTCTTCCCTCAAGAGCAGTCCACTCTCACAAGTCCATTCCCATTTTTTTTCACAGTTATTCCCTAAGAAATATTGTCAGGATATCTGTCTGCTCCTGCTATCCATTGTCCCAAGTGACAGCAGTGTTCCCTGCCTATTTGAAGTCCATTTAAGAGAGAGCACTTTGGTTGTTAAGGTGTGTATGTGTGCGTATATATGTATGTGGGTAGGTGTGTATGGGTGTGTGCATCTGTGTGGTGATATATAAATGAAAAAGTGAGAGAGCAAGGTTTCAATTGTATGTGTTTTTATCTTTAAACAGAATACATTCATAATAAAAGTTAATGTGTTTTGGTAACAAAACCAACAAAACAGCAGAGTGAGGGTTCATGGACAGAGCCATGCATGAAAATCACTTTAAAGTTACCAACTTTTGATTATATAAATAAGCCAGTGTTGTCTTGGTATTAAATGAACACAATTATTATTGTAAAGGCAATATTTAAGTCACTCTAGATAACTTTATCTAGGATGGTAAAGCGTACAAAAATAAACAAGATGGATGCAAGCATCTCAGTTCGCTGGATTGGGTTGACTTAAGCTTGGACAAAAGTATACAAGTAAATCATTCTAGGTAATGAAATAAGCGGAAGCTAAATTAACAGATAAGATTGTGCACCAAAATACAGTTTGTGAAAAAAAAAAGATGGTTTATGTGGTTGGTGTTATTAGAGAAGATCCACTTAAAATAATTAGTCTAAATATGGATTTGATGAGAATTTTTTTTTCTTCCAACAACAATCAGAGAAATGAATGCACTTGATAAAACTGATGATTGATAGTCTTTTCTGTGGCTTCTGTACAAAACACAATCGTGTACCGTGTTACTAATGTTCACTCAGTCACTATATTGTGTTCATCAAGAAAAGAAAAAAACAGACGGCAGGGCTAGTGTTATCTTTTATAGTATAGCCAATCTGATACAGGGCCGAATATTTCCAGTTCTTAACTGGAAAGCACATCTACAACTGAGGTAGGAAGGTGTTGGAAAGCAAGTATCAATGCATCTTAAAAAGGGCCTGTTTCAATCTGTGTTAAGCTTCTACCTTTTTTTGTAAGGTTTAAAGCCAATGAGATACCAACGATCGTGAGAGTAATAAAAAAATATCTTGGTCTGGGAAAATCAGCAGGATAAAATGGGTTACGACAATTTTTTTTCAGAATAATACAGCTGATTTTAGTTAGAATTAAAAAATATCTGTCTTCATACCACACACTCATTTTACTTCTCTGTTGTACTGTTTTCCATGTGCACAAGCATGGTCTGTGCCTCTCATGGCGTCATTACCATTAATATCTCAGAGATACAGAAAAGAGAAGACATATACTCTCACATACACGTCTGTGCTTTTCCAACTTGGAAATTATCCAAAGGGTATACGTTTGTAAATAGAACTTATAAATATACTTATGAAGATATAACCAGAAATTGACTTACTTTTAAGCATGATTGTATTGTTCATGAAAGTATATTAAATGCTTTGCACCAAACTGACAGTTTTGAGATGTACCATTGATGCAATTAATTACGAAGCTTGCCAACAATCAAAATGGAGCTACGCTTTTTTTTTTTTTTTTGGTCATAATTTTACCTAGATTGTATCTTTGGTATCTTTTTTAACTGACAGTAAAGGTTTCAATTATAGCTGAAGGAAACATTTCTGTCATAAACCCATAAATACCTAAACCGAAAAAGATATGGGGCACGCTGCAGTATAGTGTTTCTGATAGAGCTGATATCCGAGGTTCAATGGAGGGCAAGTTTGCTTAGGTTAGTTAGCTCAGACAATGAGATGATTGGTATCTTTATATGCATAGGGACTACTTTTAGCATAGCTAAAAGTAGTCCCTATTATTTAACCTAAGCCATTGTACCTATTCTTTATTTGTTCCCTTCATCAATTTAGTTAGTTTTGCACAAAAAGGGTTGAAAACAGTAAGAGCAATTCATCTTACATAAAATTTCAAAATGTCCAAAAACGGAAGTGAACAAACACATGGAATGAAGATACCACCAAATCTCAATGTTCCTTTATCTGTTGGTTCTATCATACTATGACTTAACCAGAAAATACTTCAGAACTCTTCAATTATAGTTGAATCAATTTGACTGTATGATCTGGTGAACTGTAAAGTGCCTTGAGATGACTTGTGTTGTGAATTGGCGCTATATAAATAAACCGAATTGAATTGATTTGAATTATTCCCCCCAGCCCCCATTACTTTTGGGTGGTGGGTCAAATATTTTCTTAAATATTTGTAATTATTTTGATTGTGATATTCCCCATCATATCCCAATATCTTGCCACCCTGCAGTAAACAAACCATTTTATACAGAATAAAATGGCGGTTAATCTATTTTAATGAAATACCAATTTAAATAGCCATAAAATGCTCAAATGTAATTTAATTGAATGACTTAATATCTGAAAACCTTTCCCATTTATATAGGTCTTTATATAGGTCCATGTTTAGCTGGTTAAATCTTATGGAACATTAATGCTCATGGATTTGTTTATAATCAGCATGAAAGAGTGATGGTAGATATCTATTTTTTTTAGAAAAAAGAACAACCAGAACTGCAAAGTTTCAAAATGGGAAAGAGGAAAAAACAATTAGCACTTAAGTTTTCTTCTTTTGGAAACTCTGAGCATAAACTGTACCTTTGGCAAATAATAATAATAATAAAAAGGCCTCATAAAAATTAATGGGGCTTAATGGGGGGGAGGGGGGTTTAAGAAACAGAACATGCTGGTTTAAATAGAAAACGAGGACAAAATGGCGTCAAAATTTTTTTTTTGTTAAATTCTGAAAGCAACACGGCAGCCTTGACATGTAGTGGACTGTATAGTAAATGAGTGAACAGTCTCATTTCAGCACAGCAAAACCACAATTACTCCTAAACGTTAAGTGTCTCCCTCACCATACGCTCAGGTGAATGCAGTGATAAAGCCCTGTTTTCTTTCTTTTTTTTTTTTTTGATCTCATTTAACCATCTGCCACTGTCTCAAGCATCATAAATAGACTCCATGATGACTAACGTCTCTCTCTGTTTATTTCAGCTCCGCCTGTAATTGGTGCGGCTCAGTGACCGGTTACAGTTCTCCCAGCCGAGCAGTTAAAATGTCAAAACTATGCATGTAGTGAATCTAACCTACTGTGTTTCCTTAGATGGATCATTTTAGATTAAATTATTTTTTTAACTCTGTGTTGACATTGCTTGGCAGTGCTGAATGGAGATAAACAGTGCATTGAGTGCTTGGCAGTATAGGCTTTAGAATTACCATGGACTGGTAGTACATTATGAGACACTGTGTAAATCTGTGCTGTGTTACCTTGTACTGTGTGTGGTGCATGCTGCTAGTTTTTTTTTTTTTGTTCTGCTTTAGTATTGTGGTCGTATTGATCGAACCTTCTGTTAAAGGGATGCTCGTTAACACATGATAAGCATTCAGATAGAAAATACATCATAAAGATAAAAAGTCATGGTCATTAATTCCTGACGAAGGGAGTGAGAGATTCAGAGAAGAGTAAGGAAAAGGGAGAGAAGGAGATAGAGAGAATAAAAGGCCCTTTGCCGTAATTGGAGTTGATTCCATTTAGGAGTTCATATAATTATTCTTGGTTATTTCTCCCCTTCTGTCCTCCCTCCACCCCGTCATTCTCTTCACCTCCATGTCTCACCCCTTTGATATCCTTCCTCCCCCTCTCACCTTTTTAGAGTCTCCATTTTTCTTTTCGTTCCATTTTCAAAAAAGTCCTGAATACGTCTCATTCCTCAAACTGGCCCAATCATCCAAGTCCCATTAATTCTCCTCTCTGTACACAACAAAATCAAATGTGTAAAATTTCCTGTGTTAGTTTTCATTCAACTATCCAAGAGTTACTTCCTAACAAAGAGTTGGTGTTAATCCGTGGAGTTAAATTCAAACCACTCTGTTCAGTGTTGATTTCAGAATCAACACTAAACAGAGCTTTTTTCCCAAAGTTCAAACCTATCCGTAAACTCTTAAAATACATGCGCTGATGACAACAGTAGTGGACTTCGGAATTGTGGCATTGAGTATGCAGAAGTTAATCTTGCAACCACAGGCTCGCTAATTCGAATCCCAGCTTTCTCCGTCTCAGTTTATGTGTCCTTGGGGAAGACACTTCACCCACACTGCCTTCTGATGGGCAGAGCTTGGCGGCAGCCTTGCTTCTGCCAGTGTGGGCAGCTGTTGTTACAATATAGCTGACCACCATTAATGATCAACATTAGCAGGTAGAGTCTAAACTCAACACTAGTTGACTTTTGACTCTACACACAAGTTTTAGATAAATTCCATCCTGATAAGTGTTGAATTAAAACTATTAAGAGTGTTCCAACTCTGTCACAGTGTTAACTGTCTAACACTTTCAAAAGTGTTATTTTAACTTGATCTAGTGTGGACCAGTATAGACACTTTAAAAGTGTTGAATTTAACTCCCTAGGAGTTGAATTAACACTTCCAAATTTGCTGTGTACTGTTGTCATGGCACAAATGTTTCAGAGGATCTTAAAAAATGTATCTCCTCTGTTTTCATTTTGCTCCTTCAGTCTTATATGAGAGGATTATCAGAGCCTCTCGTCTTTCCTTCTCTGCGTGCAGCTTCCATATCTGTTCCCCTCTTCTCCTGAGAGTGGTACTCAGCAGCTTGAGCTGCAAGTATTGGGATTGGGAGTAGCCTCCAGGCTGACTTCTGGGCTCACAGGTGGGGGTGACAGTGGGCTCTCCAAGGATAAACTAGAGATCTGTGCTAAGGTTGATGGAGGAGCTGCAACCTGGATTGGGGAGACTGAAACTGCTGCGTTGCTTAAGGAGGCAGTTGGTGACAGAGGAACGACAGCGCCTCCTCCTCCTGATCCTCCTCCTCTACCATCACGTGCGTCCCTGTCTCGGAGCAGGTGAACCAGGGCGGCATGCTGGGCACTGAGGGTCGCGGAGAGGTGTGCAGGCAGGGCGTTGAAGCCTGCCGTGAGCTGCTCCACCCGCTGCTCCAGGGACAGCATCTGTCGCTCCAAGTCCTCGCTGCGGTCGTTGAGCTCTGACATGAGCTCATACATGACACTCTGCATCTGTGGGAGGACAGTCGGAGATGTCTCAGTGCACAGAGATTACTTCTAAGAAGAGGCAAAAAATAAAATAGGGTTGTATTTGTGTTGCCTTTTATTTAAAACAATCTTTGGAACCACAACTGTGGGGTTTTTACAGTAACCTCAAAGTGGAGAGATCCTTTAAACAATATTACTGGAAAATTAAAAGCTCTTTATTAATTGTTTATTAACAAGGAGACTTACAGGACATGATTCAAACGCTGATAAAATCAAAAGGCATTTTTTAATCTCTGAGTCTTTTGGTAGTTAGACCTAACAGATCGAATTTATGCAACAACAAATTAAAATCAAGTTTATACAGACTCACTGTAATTACCTAAATTCCACCATTTAGAACTGAATTATAAATTCAGTTTTAAACAGTAGCTAATATGTTGGCTCTTTAGAAGCCTATTGAGTTACTGAGGGTGGAGCAATCCCTCATCATTATCAAGCATATGGCAACATCGGACAAATATATGATGTAGAAAATATGGTCAATAAACAATACAAAATGATGAGGGTAATGAGAAGGAGTCCTTCCAGTTTTAAAGATTTAGAAATCAATTTCAGAGGTTAACCTTGTAACACGTTTGTTTCACTGCTAAGCTGCTCATTCACTTTTAAAAAGCTGTATGCATACACATAATGACAATAAAGTTTGTCTAAGTCTAACATTTTAGTCAAATTATTGTATTTTTATTTCTGATGTTTAATGTTTATCTCATCTGTTTGTAGTTTAGCAACCTGCTTATGTCTTACGAATATTGCAGAGCTGCCTAAAAGAAAAAACAAATGATGAATAAACAAATGTGGCTGATTTGAGTTGTCTGGAGGGAGCAAGCTTTTTAAAGTTTGGACAAAGACTGAAGTGGCTTTTGAGAATGCCAAAACTTGACATGCATATTAATGACGGTAAACATGCAACAGGTTTACACCTGTTTTAAGATGTGCAAAACTTCTGAAAATTAGGCCCTAAATGCTTTGCACAGAAATTAAGAAATTTAAGAAAAACAACTTCTATTTAAACTTCCTCTGTTCAACGTTTATTGGCAGGTCTTGCTGTTTTTTTTTTCCTTTTACAGAAATCTCAATAAATGTGTTTTTTAAAGATACATTTTAGAAATTAGCCATATTGCTTTTCCTAAAATTTAAAGCAGATTTCTTCAATGACAAAAATTCAAACATAAAAATCTGATTTATGTATGAAACAATAAGATTCTACCCACAATTTAAAATGTTCTGCCTTTTTTAAAAAGATGTTAAGATTGCCTCCTCCACATGCATCTTAAATTTGATGTTATACTGTATTACCATAATTGTTCTAATACTCAGATGGCACATTCTAGTTATATTACATGAACAAAATGTTGGTACAAAAATGTCAGCAGCTCCCACACAGGATTTTTTTCCTTGTACTGAAGCCTATATTTCAGTAAAAGATCTAAACCCTTTCTCTTCACTAGTGTAAAGCAGTGGGAATGATTAGCAAGATGCAAAAGAAAATTAATCCAAAAGGGAGTAGTCGATGGAATGATAAAGAGGCATGGTGGTATAACATTGTGAATAGAGTAAGAAGAAGAGAAAAGAGAAACGGGTAATCAAAAGAAGGCAGCACAGTGTCCCTGTCTTGCTTCTTTTGGTCTCTGTAACCATGGTAAAGACGTAAGTGGCCAATTGAGATGGAGTCATTGAGATGGCGTAATTGCAAAATATTTGGTGCTAAAGGCATTGCTTCTTGGAAAGACACACACACACACACACATTCTCAATCTTTGTCTCCTATTCAAGTCTGAATCTCACTCACTCTGCTCTGAGTTTCTCTCTTTTTACAAACACACACACACACATGCTCGCTCACATTCTCAAACACCCACATGCTAACTGAAAAAAAAAAAAAACAGGATCACTCCCCTCCCTCCTCTCATTTCCTCCTCACTCTATCGCTCAGTCATCCCTGTTTTAACACTTTGCTGTGGTTGCCAGGAGATAAAAAGCCAGAGAAACAGGCGGGTCAGCATGGAAACAGAGGAATGCCGTGGTATTTTCCCCTGGGGCTAACGGGGGGCTGGACGTGTTACCCTCCACAAGGCATTGGCCGTTTCCAGTATCAAAATGTGACACAGTTTTAATAAAATTCAGGTTGAAAAAACTGAAAAATATTCCATTGTCCTAGTCATGAGGATTAAACTGCTTGTAAAAAGTCAGTCAGCGGTGTGTGATGCCTGAAGGCGAGGAAAATAGTCTCCTCTTTAAAAAGGGCATATCAGTAGCAAAAATCACATACAGTAAGAGTGTGACTACCATATGATTACAATCCAGTACTTGAACTGGGCACAGTCTGGTCCGATTTCACAGTATACAACAGTTTGAAGGAGGTCTTCCAGGGTTTTAAAAATATTTTAATAAGAAACAAAACAGAAAAGCTTTTTGGTGAAGTGTGTTTGAAAAATGAGGTGCTCCCATTAAAATACCCCCTAAAATCAGTAGATATAAAATTTTTTTTATTATTTTTAAGGGGTATCTTATTTTGAAAAGAATTTAGTTTCTAATTAAAGCAACAGCTTTAGTCGCACAATGTTGTGACATAACAGCCAAGCTAAAATCCCTCTTGGAAGCTACTCCAACCATTCAAATGGTTTAGAACGATACCAGATCTAGGCTTTTTTTTTTTTTTTTAAATATGTCAGACTCACCACAGGTAAGTGACAATTAAATGAACATGTGGGACAGCCTTACATAAACACTTCACCAGAATGATTGACAATTAGGAGAACCTTTTATTTATATGATCCACCTGGAAAAAGAAAATCCTCCACTATACCTTTAAGGTGTTTTTGAGGAAGTGACATTATTTTACAAGAATGTTCCTTTTTTTGACCATCCTGTCCTGGAGATGTTGACGTTATGTTAAAAAAAAACTAATTAAACGGTTTGAATTAATGTACCTAAATGTACCTAGAATAAATGATGTGTCTTTATTTACCTTATAAAGCTTTTTCTTGTTTGTAGAGAGGAAAATAAAGAAAAAAGGCTGTCAAAGCTGTGGGAGCAATAGGGAATTATGAGTTTACTCCTTATCCAGAATCTCATACTCATCCTTTTTATCTGTCAGTTTGGAAAAATAAGACTTTCAATGACTTCTCATGATAGATACACTTTCTCGCCAGGTTTTCTGTTCTCTTTCTTTCTTTGTTTCACTGGCTACTCTCTGGGTACCACCTCTATACTGCTGTTTATGAGAACTGACAGGTAGCCTCCAATAACCCAATATCAACTGGTTCTTGTGATTGTTTCTCATTCTTTCTTTTTCATTAGCTGTTGGCAAGACAACTCATTGGGTGCTTATGCTTTCAGGTCTTCAGTAGTTGCAGATTTTGGTCTTTACTCCTTACATGTTAACAGACATATGTGCCAGCTAACCATGCTGACTATTCAGTAGTGCATTCACTACTCCAGTTGTGCAGATTTTGTGTAGGTGGGAACAATAGTTATAAAAAAGTTTTGAACTGAAGTAACTGTTGGAGATTGTGGTCAAATGTTGGCAGAAACATGCAAACTCGTTTCCTCAGTATATGTATAGTAAAAGATGCTGGAACACTACATAACATGAGCTAGGGGGATCAAACATATACAATACAAGTGGCCTGAGAATGGAGCTTTGTTTACTCTGATTTATAATGACCAAATAAAATACATTTAATCTTTATCTTCAAAGCAAGCTCAAAAATGACTTATCAGAGCCTGAAATAAAGGCCAATCAAATCAGGACAGAGCTTTTTGATCCAATTCTATTGAGACACATGAGTTTTATCAGTGCAGCCAGTGCTGAGGTGTGTAAAAGTGTGATATTTTCCCACATGTTTTACTGTTGTCAGAATGTAAAATGTTGAGTTTGTGTCTCACCTTGGAGAGATCTACTAGTGTGTTGGCCTGATCACTGAGTTTTCTCTGCTCCATTTTGACACTGCGTAATCTGCAAACAGACATACACACAGATAAAGCTCACAAACAAAGGTGAAACCGAGTAAATACACAGTGGTCAGCCCACAGCGATAATCCCTGTGGATCCACACAACAGCACTTTGACGCAGCGGTCACCTTGCTTGGATTGGGTTCATTTTTTACCTGTAGTGTCTCGAAAAATGTAATGTGTAAAGACAGGGAGCACCAGCTAAAAACATCATAATGTTGTAGCAGTATGTATGGTAAAGAGCATATCTGGGGTTGATATGAAATAAAAGCTAAAGGAAATAAAGTCTTCGGGGGCAAAAAGCTGCAGGGGATAAAAATTCAATAAATCACATCAGTCCAATCATAATCAGAACCTGCTTTACTCTTAAAACACAGCAGAATATTTAATGGTTCATTCTGTGTTTTCATCCAGCCTTGTGGCAGCCTACATTATTAAGCACTGAAGAGTCATTTTAAAAGGCTGTTTCTCTGTTACCTTGACCCATTTTAACCTGGAAAAAAGCCCTTAATATCATATGTTCAGCCGAAAAAATTACCCTGTTTCTGCACCCGCTGACTTCCAATCCTTTCTCAGGCTTTACGTTGCAGGATTAAACATTCTACGTTACAATTAAGAGTCCTCCCCCATTTGACTACGGCTTTTAAAGGTAATTCCTAATACTTTTACCCATTAGAGGCCACAGCAGTGAGAAAGAGAAAAAGGCAACACATAATTTAGTTGCCAGGCATGGCATATATAACAACGGCTTTGAAATATGAGCATTTAATGATAGGAGAACAGAAGCATATTGGTTGAAATGCGATTGGATTGTGCTGTGCATCTATGTTCCAGCCTTTACTGTTGAGATGTTATAATGTTCATAGAGCCTCTAATGGTACACAACACCCTGATCAGTCCTGCAGTTGTGTTTGCCTGGACTGAACTTGCCCTTTGGCAGATTATTTATAATTGTATGTTTGTGTCTGTGAGAGAGTGTGCAGAGATTAGTGCATTTCATTTGATTATCAGCCCAGTTTCAAGCTGTGTGTGGATAGAAGTACAGCTTATTTCAAATGCCTCTTCAGCTTTGCAGCCAGAGTGGTGTGCTTGTGTCTGCATGCACTCGTCCGTGGATGTAGGGGTGTGGTCTTACTGATGTATGGCCTGCAGGAACTTCCGCTGATGTTTGCGAACCCTGGAGTGGTCGATCTTCTTCATCAACTTGGTGTGTTTGTAGATGAGCCAAGTCTCCCTCAGCACATTAGCTGCAGCGTTCTTTATCTGTCTCCAGACAATAAACACACACATGTATGTAGACATATATTAGCAACAGGTAGTCCTTGGCAACTGGAGGAGGCAACAGGTTGATCTGCTCCTTTTCTTCTCCGTTTAACTATCGTGTCTGTGCAAAAAAAAATAAAGCACTAAGCCATCTTTTTTGTCTTCTCAGAGGCTACCCCCTTCCTCTGTGGCAGGCTTGCCAACATTTTTTATGAGTGCTTTCATTGCTTTATCCCTAGGAGATTGGCAATGAGTTCCAACAGGAGTCTTTCCTTCACACACTTCTCCCCTGGCTTGTAATTTCTACAATGCTTTACAAGATTATTCTTTCACTTTTGGCTATTAATATGTTTTATTTTTAACATTAGAACTACGTTGTGATAACTGTATTGGGATTGTATAACATAAACCGGCATAAAGGATTGCATAATTCTAGATTGCAACAAAAAAAGACAGCTGTTTCATAATTGTTTCACACATTAAAACTGAAAGTAAGGAATGAATCAATATTCATTCTGAATAAATCAATTCTGTATATTACAACCTGCAACTATTATGGCTGAAGAATACTTTTACCAATATTTACCAATGTCAGTACCTACTGGTAGCGGGTTTTCTTTTCAGAATTGCCCTGTATTTAGATGCACTTTTTTATCTTTCTTTTTATTTGGCTGTATTAGAGTAAAATGGGCCTAATCTATTAATTCTCAAAATAATATAGATATCATATATTTTTTCCACAGTTAAGGTCATTAAATTAACTGTTAGAAGGAAGACATTTGTTCTTGCTCCCAGAGATGTTAGAACAAAATTCTACATCATTTTGTCACATCTCTATCTTTGGGTTTGTCTCTGGCCAGAACTTTATTCTCTCAGTGTGTTTGAGAACAATTGTGCAAATCATCGGGATTTGTGTGGGCATTTGTTATGTTAGATTAAAGGTTAGGCTAAAGTTGAGATGATTTTACTTTCTTTTTTCTGTCAAATTTTTTGCCACTTTTTCCAGGTATGGATGTTTGTACAGTGAATTGTTAGGGAATGGACAATTTTAACGATTTGCTGTCCAAGGGGGTAAAAAAAAAAAAAAAGAAAATTACTATGTTAAGTCCTCTGAATGGTGCAAAATATTCATCTCTAGCTCCTCCTATAGCAATCTGAAAAGATGCATCCTCTGCCAATGTGCTGTTGTGTTTTCTTTAGATGTGCAATAAGATTTCCTGCAGCTGAGCTTTTTTTGTGAGACCTCAGAGGCAAATTTAACTTTTTCATGTTCTAAGAACACAATAAAAACTAATTTCATGCTTCTTGCAGACAATGTAACAAGCTTTATGCAATTATTTGTGTTTTGAGTAAATTTCAATGTTTGTAGCATAATAAAGATATGTAAAAAAAAACAAACACAGCATATGTGCATTCTATCTAATTCACACAGACTATATTATAATAGTCGGATAAAATAATTAACCACAGCTGTTCATAAAAACAAAGAATCATCCTCTTAATTATGACAACAACCATAAAAAAAAACACTCCCAGTTTAAGTGGCGGTTCAGTAACTATAGCTGTCAAAGACATTCCCTTATCTAAGGAAAAGTGAAGCATTAGTGTAATGTAATGATACTGTTTCATAGAAAGGATAATGGAGGCAATTTTTGCTATGGTGTTGCAGCTGCTTTTATTCTAAGCTGTCTGAATGTAAAACTGGATAAAACAGTGATTCAAAATGTCAGAGTCTGCCTAAGGCTTGCTGAAGGATCAATAATATTTAACGTGAATATCTGCTTCATCTCTCCCTATAGGTTGCTACATAATTACAAGTCAGGGATCGGGCATCGAGCAGAGCAAATAAAGAAAGGCAAGAGTAGATACAATAGAGAGGAAAAATGGCACAATAAATGGGAGGACATAAACTGAATGAGAGACTTCAATGAGATTTTGTAGACTAAACAAAGAACGATTAAAGCCCCATATGAAGAGAACAAAAGAGGCCAGCAGCCTGGCTAATCAGCACCCTTCCATTGTAAGGAGGCTTCCTCAGAGACACCCCCTACATATTCACACAGCGTTGGATGCAGACGAAGAGGGTGGAGGCCATGGCCCTGCGAGATGTGTTTACACTGACCCAGAGGAACTCAAGCTAAGATGGCACAGTGTCTAACCAAACTGATCAGCACTGTTATTTGATGTCCTAATATCAGAAAATATTAACTTCATTTCAGATATTTGAGTTTTGGGCTGAAACAACTAATCGGATTCATCGTGATGAATCGATCATTGGAATAATCATCAACTAATTTAGTATTCGATTAATCGTTAACTAGATTATAGAGCATATATTAAACATGACTTTAACTGACAGAGCAACCTATTTAGAGCAGTAATTGCAAGAATGCAAAAGAAATATGTAAACATTTTGCATTTAAGATAAAAAAAAACTGTTTTTGTCTGTCAATATGCTCTATCCAGAACTCCTCAAGTGGAAAAGTTTTAGTTTCACCTGGTTTAATTCTGTAAAAAATCTTCTTTAAGGAACCTTTTGCTATCTGAGTATTAATTGATGGATCAAAGAAATTATGTTATTGACAGATTGATCAATTTGCAATGATCTATTTTAGTTCAAGATATTTTTGTTTCAAAATTTAGATCAACAATATTTCAAAATCTGTAAAATCTTAAGAACAAAACTGTGATTGTCCCCCATTAAAGAGATACTTTAAAGCAGTGTTTAAATACCACTGACAGCTTTAATGGAGTCTAAACTAGACCTGCTCAAAGAACCGCTAGTACACTTTAAAGTATTGAGACGGTCTAGAACCAAGGGATCCAAAGAGCCATTATACTCCAAGTCTGGCCGGGTAAAAGTAGTTAAAGAGTCCCAAAATGTAAAGCAGATATCAATTTTATGAAGTGTCTGCCATAGGCGTGCTTTGGTGGAGCAGTGATTAGTGTGCAGGACCCACATACGCAGGCCTTAGTCCTTGACCTGGCCAACCTGGGTTTGAATCTGACCTGTGGTCCTTTGCCGCATTTCTCTACCCCTTTTCCTATCAGCCCAAAAACGAGCCACTAGTGCCGTAAAAACCTAAAAAAATAACCCAAAAAAACACAAAAATTATCTGCAATAGAAAATCTGTGACAATCTTAAACAATCAATGGTTTCTTTAGATTTCTAGCTTTTAAAATAAGGAAAAGATTAAACAATTCTAAAGATGAGGCATAGATTTTTTCTATAGGTTATTATTTTATGAGAAAAACTGATAATAGTACCCCTCTCCTATTGGCTGTTAGACTTTCTCACGACAATGACCAGGACTACAGAGAGGAGGTGGACTAGCTGGTTGGATTGGTGTAGAGATAACAACCTGATCCTAAAAGCGGAGAAGATAAAGAGATCATTGTCGACTTCAGGAAGAATCAGCCTAACCACGCTCCACTGCTCATCAACAGCTCAGCTGTAGAGATGGACAGCAGCACCAAATTCCTGGGGTTGCACATCACAGACAACCTCACCTGGACAGTAAACACTACCTCTCTGGTCAAAAGGGCACAAAAGTGCATGTACTTCCTGAGGAGGATGAGGAGAGCCCGCCTGCCCCCACCCATCCTCACCATCTTCTACAGAAGCACCATAAAGAGCGTTCTGAGCAGATGTCTCACTGTGTGATGTGGAGGCTGCAGCGCCTCAGACTGGAAGAAATTGAGGAGAGTAATGAGAACAACAGAGAGGATCATCGGGGCTCCTCTTCCCTCCATAAAAGAAATTTCATCAAAGCGCTGCGTGTCGAGGGTCAGTGGCATTATCAATGACCCCTCACACCCCCACCATGGACGGTTTCCTCTGCTGCCCTCTGGGAAGAGGCTTCGCAGCATTCAACGCAGGACCAGCAGATTCCGAAACAGCTTCTTCCCCATCAGAGAGCTAAACTTTTGAGAAAGTCCAAATTATGTCTCAGACTCTGCATCACACTGATAACATCAAACCAAAACACTGCATAATTGCACCATATATATTTAATGCTTTGAACTTCCATATCAATTTTTTGCACCATGTTTTTTTTCTCCCACAGTTTTTACATTTCCTCACTTCTGCATTTTAAGAAATGGAAATGTTAGGAAAACTGTACAAAACGAAATCTTGTTTTGTATACACTCTGTGTATACAAAATGACAACAAAAGTTGACTAAGTCTAAAATGTTCTTTATAAATCCACTAAAGCCTCTAAGACCGGTGTTATTACAGTACATAAGATATTTCTTTATATTAAAGGTATAGTCGAGGATTTTTGCAAATTTTGAAAACACCCACTTTAAAACAAAAATGCACATGCACAACCCTGTACCTGCGCGTATGGCTCCAGAGTTGCCAAAAACAGAAAACTGTGGATCACATTTATTTAAAAAAGAAAAAAAAAAGATCATGTTTGCAGTTGCTCCATTTGTAAATGAAATACATATGAGGAGAATTTCCAATACAGTGGCACATATAAACATCATTACAGCAGAAAATTCAAGTAAATTTTTAAAGAGTTATTATTCACCAATCACATTTGAATACAGCAGATTTATATCTAAATCTTTGGTCAGGTTGCTAAACAGCACATTCAACAGTGCTTTCATCTCTAGACCTTTTGGCAGTCTGATATGTCAAGTCACATTCATAAACTGATCAATCAGTGCAGCAGGATTAAATTATGATGAATCATGACATGTCCCTCGTGCAAATAACACTGAGTGATTGCACCAGACTGTTTGTAGTTTCCAGATTTCCTGCAACCACAATTACTGTCCACCCCCACCACCGCAGTCTTCATTTTCTCTCTCCTCTGGGAAATGAATGTGGGCAAAGATGGCAGCTTCATTTGCAAGAATAAAAGACTTGCCGTGAACCGCTAAGAATACTCCACGAGAAACCAAACGATGGCAGCGACAGCCGTTCCTGCTCCATATGGACTGTATTTGTGAAACCGGGTTGGGGCCATATGGTCGCTTCAGGTCAAAGA